TATCTATCACAATAAGATATAAAATATGTTTGAACTATGTATGTACATATATTAATATTTTTTATTGTGGTAAATATCAATCAAAAAAACTCTTATAAAAATTCTTCCAATACCATATTATCTCACAATTTTCACCATGATTTTCAGGGTAAATTCTAAGAGAAAATTTTCTCCGTGTATTATTATCATCTTTACACGACTTATTTTCTAAAAAAATTCATATTAATATTTACGTACAAAAAATATTTTTCCGATCCAATAATTGTGATCTAATGGTGTCTCGAGAATTGATTGAGGGTGAAATTTTTATATCATTATTATTATATACCTATAATTATTAATTTACTGTGTACTATTCCATAAAATTATTAATTATTAATTATTATATAGTAATTAATTGCATCTTGGTGCAAGTCGCGATGCAGTGACTTACCCGCGATGTTCCTGTGCACGCGTCGATGTCTCTCGATAGGTTTCCTTCTTCTCGGCAAAGACATCGTATACTTTATTATTCTATCACTCGTGCCGGCTCGTAGACTTCCCGCGGTTCGGTTTATTCTACTTATATGTTCATCTGAATCTTTATCTCTTCCGAATTCTCTCTGAAATAAGCACTTTAAATCCCCCTTTAAGACGTGCGTGTTAAATTTATGTGAATAAACTATTCCTCTTAACACAATGATTCTTCCATTTGTCTGATAATGGATGATGGATCGGACGTTTTCGATGTCTTTTATTTTTTTGGAGTTGTGACAGATGATTAACAAGGAACTTCTAGACGCGTCCAAAATTCGATGATCCAAAATTCGATCTTATGCTCGTTTGTAATCAAGAAAAGTCTCTATTTGTTTATCAATCCAAGTATTATTAAATAAAGAAACTTTTTTCTCACGTGCTAAACTTGCAAAAAATTAATAAATTCTTTTTTATCAGTCTTTCCCTTTCCTAGAGTCGCACTTTTGCTCATCCCATTATACATAATTCTATTCCTTAATCAATCTTGGTTCACAGCACACTCAGTTAGCAGTCAATTTTGCGCGATATCTATACTATAAGATAGAAAGAGAGAGAGAAAAGAAGAGCGATGGCAAATGTTAAAAGACCTAACTGTATCTCCCGCAAGAATTCGAAAAATCATCGCACGGAGAGATCATTGATCCTTGATCCTTATAACGACGCCGAGGAGGCCTCCGGGAGATCCTCGTTTGCCGGAATGATTTTTTGCCTTTCCGCTCGATCGATTCCGCCGGCGATCACAACTCGACTCTGACTCCCACTTCCTTCGTAGAGCAAAACCCCCGCGGCGTATAATCCAACTCTTGGCACGCACGTCGGAATCCTCGAACGCACTAAGTACGAGCACAATTGCTGGCCAACTTCGTACCTTCTTTCGTCTCTGGAGGAGAAAGAGGAATCATCCCTTATCATCATACATTGATCAATTCAGGATGACAGTAGTTAAAATTCAGGTTGCACTGGTTAATCAACACTTTTAGACAACAAATACCCGTATAAGATTCTCAACGTTAGACTTGAATCAGCTGATTGTTCAAAACGGACTGAATAATGGTCGAAACGCAAGAATCAGGAGATTGGCAAAGATTGAGTGGCGATTATTATCACATCAATCCCCTGCGGTCTTAATAAGTGTGAAGAGGGAAAAACTCATCCTAGATTTGTTCATCACCACAAGTGACAGTTCGAGTATCCTCGATGATCTCATTCATGATGACTGACAACTATATCTCTAACAGCACACATATCCCGAAGACGTTCAGAGAATATCCTGAGGATGTTCAAATGTCCTCTGGATATATTCTCTGAATATCTTTCCTTTGGCTATGTTGTGTGATTAGGGATCCCAACTATCCTGATCACTGGAACGAGAATACACAAATGCATTGTCTCCCTCTCTTGAGTAAATGAAAGAAAAAGGACGAAAAGCGCGGCGAACCCTGTCCTAGGCTAACACTCGACACTCCTACTCGTCCAAGCATCAGCGAGCGACTGAGGGCTGCAGACAGCGGGCCCAGAAACGGGGCCCGCCACGCCACGGGCCCCGGGGCCCTCTCGGGCTCCCCCGTGCCGTGTCTCAGGACCAGTTCGGTCACTTCGCCGCTGCTGCTGCTGCTGCGAAGGAAGGATATAGGTACGACGCTTTGCTCTCCGCGAGGACTCACCCTCCGTCCCCTTCCACCCCCTGCAGCGACCTATGTCCTACGTCGCGCATTCTGCGTCCTGCTCCCTCCCAAGATCTTCTCCACCTGATCTCGAGCGCGTTTCGCGCCCTCAAGATCAACACGTCCGGGAAAATTGCGTGACGTAACCAAGCGCGAGATTTGTCAATTTGGGAGATAAAGAGTATTTTTTTTATCCATGGCTGTATATAATGCACTTTTTTATCATGAATTTAATTGAAATTAGTCCTTCACATAAGTTGTGTTGATTGCTTAATAGAATTTAAAATAAATCTCGAATCTCAATATGATCTTCTATTAAGAATACTATATGTGTAAAATAATTCACAGTCTGGAATAATTGAGAGATTTCTCTTTTTTTCATGTAACTAGTAAAATAATTAAATAAAATTGACAAGAGCCTATTTAGAAAAATCCTAAACCTGGTGAACCTATTTAAAGCCTATTTGGAAAAACTCCTAAATCCCCTTCTACTAATATGGATTATCACTAATTGATTTAGGGTGAATTTTTCGTCGGCGATTCTGACGGAAGAATAAAAACAATGTTTTTTTTCTTCTCGACAAAAATCGTAGCCTGATGACATTTGAACCGATTTGGCGATGATCCTGTTAATTTATCTCACGAATCAGCTCGAGACGGGAGTTAATTAATGAATTAACAGTTTTCCGAGTGAAACAAGTCTGCATAATTAAGGGAACCGATGAAATAGGCGTAATAATTCGTTTATAGTGAAGCTGTGGATTCGCTAACCCGTTTGTCCCCTTCTTCTGTAGCTATTTCTGCTGCCAATCGCATCATGTGCCCCCTGATGGTCCATCTGGCCCAACCTCTTCGCATCCGACGGGAGCCAATCGCGTGTCTAACATAGGATCTAATACCTTCGCTCGTAACGGGTGTCGAAAGTGGAAGGGAGCTCGTCGCAGCTTCCGAAGTCGCTTGGGTCCAGAGCGATATTCAGATTATTGCCGCATCGCATCTCGCGCGCTTGCGTCTTCCATGGAGCTCTCAAATATCAATCGATATCAAATCGCAAATCCGGGTAATCCCAGCTCTTCCAGAGAACTACCTCTCTATTCTCAAAACATTCAGGAAAAAACAACACACTTGGATTTTAATTTCTCGCATTTCTTCGTTGAACAAATCGAGAGATCAAATATTTAGATTGCATTTTTTATTTTACTTTTAATTTTATTTCATTTATTCTATCATTATTTAAATTTTTAATCAAATATCAAGTATATATATATATATATATATATATATTTCTTTATATTTGTACTGACGTATATTATATTGTACTTAAAATTTTTGATCTCCTTTCAAGAGATTCTCGCAAACATGTATATAATATTATAAATCAAGAAGGGAATAAAAACTGTTAAACCATAATATATAACATCGCGACATAAAAACTGTATAGAAATAAAATATTATTTCTTCGCGAGAGAGCAGATATAGAATATATTCTTTTTTATTTCTCTAGACTGGGTAAATTTCACGCTGCGCGACAGCGCAGGTGTGCGATATCTCATAAGCTCGTTTAATCTTATAAATTAAAATTTTATAAGACACGCAAGCATATATAAACGCACGCGCGAGCGCACAGGAGCATTTTTCGAGTGCTCGCATATACGTGAGATTGGTCCAGCTACGGGAATCAGGTTCGGTAACTTGTCCCATCCATCACTAACCCGGACAGCCAGATGTTCGCAGGGGGTACAATGGTCGGTATAAGGTATTACCCCTTCGTGCATAATGCCGCTAGCAGAAATTATCCAGCAGCACCCTCCGCACAGACGTAGAAAATTTTGGGATTTTATGTCTGGGGTGCTCCGGCCGAATCCTTTCTCCTTCCTGTTAAAAAGCAGCGCAGCCCAGCCGTCTGCGTCGCAGGAGATTGCGGAAACTGCATTTGCGACTCGCGAACCGAAGATGGGAAACTTGATCGGATCCGGTGACGATGCTTTCGAGCATTTTTTCTCTCTCATTGATCTCATTCGAGAATATGTATGTACACATTCAATATATTATATATATATATACATATATATATATATATATATATATATATATGTATATATAATATAATAGAATTATAGAATTATTAATTAATTAAATATGAATATTTTATATATTATTATATGATTACATTATTGGATTATTAATTAATTAAATATGAATATTTTATATATTATTATATAATTAAATTATTAGATCATTAATTAATTAAATATGAATATTAGCGCTCAGAGCTGATTCACCGTATGGAAATAAATTTTTCACCGTAAAAATCACGTCAGAGTTGAAATGTTTAAACAATCATTATACAATCGATCAAAGCATACAGATATTAAATTCGAAAAATTCGTTATCTTTTCCTAGATGATGAAAAATCTAGACAACAACTGATTCTTTCACTCTGCATTGAAAAAAAAATTGTTAACTAAATCTTTCAACTAAATATTATTTTGTTAATTAAACATAAAAATCAGCGTTTATTGAACATAAAAATATTTAAATTAAATGTAATATATTAATTAAATCCAACAGAACATATATTTGACTTAAACACTATATGTTCAATTAATAAAATAGTAATTTAGTTGAAAAACAAAATTCTTTTTTTTCAATTTTTAGTATCGACCTACAAGATCCCTATTTAATTTTTCCTTCCAAATCTCTTCGTTTTTGATCGATAAATGAACAAAAATGATATTCACGCTGTATCTCGCACTTTTCGCGTCCCGTCGGATTAAAAGAGAATTATATGTCTAACGTTTGCGTAAATTTCCATCGCAGGATTCTCAACGGAAGTGGTATCTGGCGCCTATCTTTCATGCAGCTCTTACGGAGAATTCCGAGGAACGTAAGACGCAAAACTTTTCGAATTCGTTAAACGATGGGAAAATCAGAGCGTGTAACTTCAAGCCGAGACAAATCTATTCGGGGGACAGATTCATACCATGTCGTCGTGGCTACAATTTCGAAGCGGCTCACTACTTGTTAAGCAGAAACTTCAACAAGATGGAGCAAAGCACATTAGAGGTTCACAAACAGGTACACAAGAAATATTTCTCATCTCCAAAAATATGTCAGCTCCAATTGTGTAATCACACTTCTTTTCCACTCTCTTCAGCTCGATTGGCTGCCGGTTAGGCATGAACGCAAAGCCTTCCACGCAATAATGCTAAAACAGGGTGTCACACCGGGTAATTTTTCAATTATAACAAATAAATAATAATTAATAATTTTATAATCGCTAGTAAATTAATAAATCAAGGTACTCTCTAAATTTCTTGGAGTGAAAACTGAACAATCTCATTCCAAAAGTGGAATTTTACTCCAAAAGAGTGAAATCTCACTCTTTTGAAGTAAAATTCCACTCTTTTGGAATGAGATTGTTCAGTTTTCACTACAAGAAATTTAGAGAGTATATTTGTAATTCGACAAATACTAGCTATTTTGTTTATTTCTTACAACGTTTCGCCCATCAGGTTTTGGTCCTTTTCAAGTAAAACTATAACGATACCTTGTAATGTACGCCTTACTTATTGTTGTATTATTCCAAACCGTAATTGTAAATCATTATTCTATATTTAAACATTGTATTATTACAGCTTTACTTGAAAAGGACCAAAACCTGATAGTCGAAACGTTGGAAGAAATAAACAAATTTATAGCTAGTATTGATCAAATTACAAATATACTTTGATTTATAATAAATAAATATATAATGCGGATTTCTCAGATTATTTGGAGACGATTTTTTCTCAGCAAAAATGACGCCAATAATTTTCCAGTTATAAGCGATTGAAAATAAAGTTTTTTAGCAAGCTAAGCCTTGTAAAAATAAAATCATATAAACCAAATTTTTCAGTTAATTTCAAGTAGAATTTACTTTAGTGTAATATTAAGGCTTAGTTACAAAAACACACAATAGCAAAAAATAATGACCATCCTCAACATTTTGCTGAGGAAAAATCGTCTCCAAATAACCTTAGAAATCTCCCCATTAATAGACTGTCCGATAATTTTGCCCTGTATACATATAAAGCTAAATAAATGTTTTCCATTTTATTTTCTAAATGAAAAAGGTGTAGTTGTAAAAAAAAAGTATTCTTCTGAAATTCTTCAAAGTTCTAAAGAAATTTCCCCCATTCTAAGCGTGAATTGAAGTGTTTATGTATGTTTATACAAATGGATATGTCTATCCGCGACTTAGGTCTGAATCAAAACAGGATTCTGCACTATAGTAATTCGACGATACAGCAATCGCAAAAGCCGCAGTATGCAGGATGGATACAAGGTGCGGGATACAAAGAGGAGGGAATCTGGAAGTGCAAGCCACGGAAGAAAACCATGATCAAAGACGCGAAACTGTTGAGCATACCCGATTCCGTCGCTCCGGAGGGTACGATTTATCGCGATATCAATTTGTTCTATATAGGTCGACCTGGCAAAGTAGTTTGCACAGTAGAAAAATGTCTTTTCTTGTTCAAAATGGTCCCCGTTACAATTTGTGCGTTAAATATTTAACATATTTATCTGTTAATTTAATATATTGCTGTTGTGTCAATTGAACTTATAAATGTTAAATTATTAGAACAACTGAAAAAAGACAAGATTTATCTGTTAAAATTTACAGAAAAAATGTTGATTTATTATTTTATGATTTAATGTAAGTAAGGATGATTAATATATGATTTAATAATCTAAAATTAATATATTTCTAGTTAATTTTTACATTAAAATTATGTTAATTTTACACAAAATTTATTTTAAATTACTTGAAGTTTTGTATTAATTTTGTGTTAAAATATTAACATAATATTTATAAAGAGCCGATCTAATATTCTTATCATTATAATATTTATGTCTTCATTTAACATATATCGATATGATGTTAAATTAACACAAAAATTTCTGTGGACCATTTGAGACATATAATACCTGTTAAATTTAACACAAATTTTTCAACTATGATACTATTAATTCCAATAGTATCTCTTGTATAATCGAAGGTAACAATGTCGCCAATCTGGTTGATTGGAGCTGCAACAACATAATCAGCATAGGCAATCGAAGTTCTGTGGCGGTATATGATGATAGTGGTTCTGTGTTGACGAGTTGGCGGGAAGAGATTCGTCCCAGAGAAGTGAAATGGAGCAACGACGGTAAAATATACCAGTAAAAAAAATTATCACACCTGTCTTGAATAATTCGGTACTGAAAAACGTGTTTTAGGAGAAAATGATCAATATAAAATATGATTGCACACATCATTTTAAAGGAAAAAATTTATACAAATATGTATCCTATTTTGCCCACGTTATATAAATACGGTCTGTTTAATCTTACAATTAAAAATGAATACATTTATTAACTTCACGGAGAGAATTTTCTCTTAGAATTTATCCTGAAAATCATGGTAATCGTAGGACAATATGGTATTGGAAAAAGTTTATAAAAGTTTCTCTAATTAAATATTTATCATAATAAGTTGTAAATTTAACTAAATTAATCAACTAATTATTATTTTGTTAATTAAATATAGAAATATTTAAATTAAATATATAACATATTGAATCTAATATAACTAGTTATATATATGTTCAATTAACAAATTAATAATAATTAGTTGACCGATTTAGTTTTTCAGTGTGTCAATAGTTAATTTTAATAATCCTGATTTATATAATAAATATATGTATTTACATTTTTATAACAATAAAATACTTGATGAAATTTTGTTGGAATCAACATAAGACATAAAATTTTCCTAAAGCGAATCGTGTCATTTTAGGTAGTAAATTGGCGGTCTGCACAAATTCGAAGATCATAATGTACAATTTAGAGACGAAAAAGTCTATGTGGGTGATTTCTTGTAAATGTATATTAACAAAGCACTTTAATACAACTAACGAATGCAGGATTCGTTGCATCTGCTGGTCTCTTGGCGATTCCCACATTGTTACGTAAGTATCGATTTTAATCTTTTAAACTGAATCAGTGAAACTATCACTGATAAAATACTTGATTATTGCAGTAAGATTTTTGAAAAATTAATAATAAATCGTACATATAATTGCAAAGTGTATATCTTAGAGCTTTCTCTATTTATTTTCATTGCTATATTTTGGAAGAGTACCATACATATGAAACACTATAATATTACTCTAATATTACAATTCAGAATTATATAAATATTATTTCTTTACTTTTAAGATGTGATAAAAACAAAAAAAACAAGATTTCTTCGTCAAGAATTTAAATATTTCTTTTATTTATATATTATTATATATATTATTATTAATATATAATATTATATTATATATTATTATATATAATATAATAATATTATATTTTATATAACATTACATTATATATTTATATATTATACATTATATTAATAGAAGATTAATACAAGTATCTTTTTTTAAATATTTCTTGTATAATTTTTTTTAAACTGAATATTTCACTGATGTGCAATGCTATATTTTACATGATTAAATAATTAAAATAATAAATTTGATCGGATAAGATCAAGTCCTGAATACATATAATTAAAAAAGCTACATTAAAATAAATAACAACTCTAATTAAAGTATAAAAAATAATACAAAATAAAATAAAATATTAAAAAAATATAAATAAATAAAAAATAATCTTTCTCTTCCTTGTAGTGGATGTGGGGGCTCAATATCAATACATACATCTGATTCGGGCAAGTTGGTGACCACCACAGTCAAACACACGGATCGTATCTCGAACCTGAAATTTTCGCCAAATTTCAAGTATCTTGTATCAGCCGCACAGGACAAAACCGTCGAAGTGTTTATCTGGCCGGAATTAACCCCTTTTTTTCAAATCGAATTTAACACTACAAACGCACAGGTAGATAGATAGATCAATTGTTTTCGAGATCTTTTATTTTTTAATATGCTGATATAGTAAGCGTTTGCTAATTCTCGATTCTTCGTGTATAAAAATTTTAATAATTCTAATTTATATATAATTAATATATTTACATTTTTATAACAATACAATACTTGGTGAAATTTTGTTGGAATCGACATAAGACATCAAATTTTCGTTGACAGCAAAATATGCTTTTCGGCTCTGATATAAACAAAATACACGTTAATATCTATATGTAATATAAATATTATAGACTTAAATATAACAGAATTTTAACATTTTTATATGAAAAATCGAGAAATATAAAATGCACTATAAAAATTATTTTTTACAAGAAATATATAATAGTGTATATACTTTAAATCAATCTTTCGCAACTCTTTCTTAATATATTGCAAGACTGTAGCATCGAATATCTCAGAATTCTTATCTTACAAACCTATCATTTTTCATAATAAACAAAGATTGAATAATTATAATTATTTATGGATTAATAAAAATAATTCTTCCAATAACGAATCGTACAATAGCGATTCATCGATTCAATCTATGCTTCAATTTTTCGTTTCATCAATCATACATGGAGAAAAAAATTAGATATTATAACTAAATTTTAGCTGCGTCTCTATATTAAACATGAAATTTAGTTATCATGCCTAATTGTAGTCGATATTTGATAACTAATATTTTTAGCTATAGCATTCTCCATCAAACTATATCTAAAAATATTATCATAGCTATAAAATTTAGGCATAATAACTAAAATTCAGGTTGTAATATAGAAAAGTTGCTAAAATTATTTAGCTACACAGGGAGAATTTTCTCTTAGAATTTACCCTGAAAATATTTATCTAATTCATTCATTTGTTGTTCATATTTATTTAATTTATTTATTTTTTGGTCGATTAAATTTTTATCATTTTTTTTCATTTATTTTTTAATCAATAGTATGTTTCTTTAAATATTTATTAAATTTAATAAATAATTAAGTAATATATTGATTAAAAAATAAAGATGAAAATTTCTACCTCATTCACTAATTTATCATATTTATTTAATTCCTTTATTTTTAATCAATAATATGTTTCTTTAAATATTTATTAAATTTAATAAATAATTAAGTAATATATCGATTAAAAAATAAATATGAAAATTTCTACCTCATTCACAAATTTATCATATTTAATTAATACATTTATTTCATGGTAATTATGGACAATATGGTATTGGAAGAATTTTAGAAGAACTCTGATTAATATATTTACCACAATAAAAAAGTACTATCTACCACAATAAAATATAAAATATATTCCATGAATTTTACTATGTACATATTTTTTATTGTAATAAATATTAATCAAAGAAATTCTTGTAAAATTCTTGCAATACCACATGATTTTCAGGGTAAATCCTAAGAGAAAATTCTCTTCGTGTATAATTTAGCTAAAGCAGTTGATTTTTGTTTCGTGTAGAGAGATTGATTATCTACAATTTTTAATTTTATAAAATATTTGTACTCTCTCCTCTTCTTGTCAGGCGATCGCCTGGCATCCGCAGGTGTCTGGTACACTTTGCATAGGTGACTGCCAGAACGAATTGTCGTTATGGGACATCAACAAGACGGCAATGGTAGCCAATGTGCACGTTAAAGACGAGGGATTTCGCTTGCACAATTTCGCATGGAACAAGTTAAGCGGCGAGTTGGTGGTGCATTGGAAATGGCAAAATCAAGACACGTCCTCGACAATCGCCGCGGTACTCGCCAGCTTCGATCGAATCGTCGATGAGCTGCCACTATTCGAGGAGCAGCTATACTTCTTGAAATTCAACGCTACGCACGAACAGCTGAGTACGTCAATTTTTTGTCTATATCTTTTGGAGAATGAATTTTGGAAAATATATTGCTAAATTTTTTTAAGTTTGTAAGACGTATGTGTGTACTGAAAAAAAATTGTTAACTTGACTAAACCTTTCAACTAAATTTTATTTTGTTAATTGAACAAATAAAAATATTTAAATTAAATATAATTCATATTAAATCTAACAAAACATATATTTGACTTAAATACTAATATACGTTCGATTAAGAAAATAGTAATTTAGTTGAAAGGTTTAGTCAAATTCACCAATTTTTTTCTTTAGTATGTTTTAATATTTTGAAAAAATAAATACGTATATATATATATATATATATATATATAAATAAAATTTATAAAAAAATTGTTTAATTATTTTCGATTTTTAATGAGTCCACATTTTATGTGGAAGCAACGTAATTTAATTTTAATCGAATAATGTTTTTAACTCGATAGTTTCTTTTAAAATATTGGTATGTGATTTTGTTATAATTAAATCTAATATTTCTATTACATTTAAACATCAATATGAAGATTTTATTTATATTAGCTGAAAAAACACTTATAATTATAAATAAAATTTTTCCAAATATTTTATTTTATAAAAATAAAAATAAATTAATTATATATAAATTAGAAGTGTCAAAATTTTTACACGAAAAGTCGAGAAATAACAAATGCAAAGTATAACAGCATATTAAAAATTTTAAATAAAAATATGAAACCCAGTCTGTTTAATATCAGTTGAAATCTTTTTCAAATCATGTTCGACGCATCCCTCTTCAACTATATTCAAGTTTGATATCTATTACAGTAGGATACGGTAAAGACGGCGATGATCATGTTTTCTGGATATGGCATTTCTTTGGTGACGAGAAATTCGAGTACGGGCGAAACGTACCTCTCTATAATTCGGCACGACGGAGGCAAGGAATTCTTTATCATTCGATTCGATAATTATATGTTTGTCTTATAACATGTACTAATAAGTTTAAAAATTTGTTTTTGAGATAGAGTAGCATTAAACCAGATATTTAATAATTTTTAGCGCGTAAGTTATCCGTTTGTTTTTACATGTATATGAAGAAAATATATAATGTAATGTAAAAATATATAAATACTTCGCAATTCCAAACATCATGTTGTAAAACTTATGGAAAAATGCGCTATTTTAGCCCATTAATTACATATTTAATACGTTCAATTCTTATATTGCCAGAGAGTATAATTAGTATCGAAAAAAAAAAAATATTACCTCTATGATTTATGGTAATATTACATAAATAATAGTTTATCAAATATCTTAAAATCATATATATATATATATGTTCGCATAAAATTATAAACGGGTATCGTGTATAAAAGAAAAAAAATGTTAGAATAACTGACCATTCCTATTCGATTCGAAGCAACGCTTGTAAATAATTAGCTTATTTTTCATCTAAATCCGGAAAACTAATGCGCCGAGAATTTAAGCTGTTATATAGAAAGAAATACCGGTCTGGTTTTTCTTGGCCAATATTTCCGGATTTTTCAAGTCGAGCAATGATACACTATATATGTATATATTATAGTTATACTAGAATATATTGTTTGTAATATATGAAATACATATATCAATTTTGCAGTTAAAATTGATAAGAATATAGTAAGATAAAAATATAAAATGTAAATGATATAACTAACAAAATATAATACCTTGTTAGTGTTATACTACTATAATTTAATACCATAATCTAATACTATTATAATGTAAAATAAATATATTTTCTGTCCGCGTATAAAAGCACAAACTGTATATTCTATTAAAATTAATATATATATTCACCTATAATTAATATTTGAATATTCTAATATAATTAATATTGATTTATACAATTTTAATTTATTATGTTATTTATATAGTAATGCAGTTATATCTGCTACAATCAATTATATAATGCAAAATATACAGCTTGCGATATATAATGATAATTATTACAGATATAAAAAGTAAGAAGAGAGTAAATTAAAATACGCAGCTTGTTTAATATCACTATAAGGCTTCATATTATTATTTGTGACTATCTTCTTTTAAATGTGTATATCTATTAATTAACATTAAATTGCAAGCTGATATATAATCTCTCATAATTGTACTATTATAATTTAAAATAAATATATTTTCTGTATTATTCAGAAGAAAGATGGCATAATGTTATATGTTCTTCATTCCTAATGTGTTTTATATAATTTAATTTTTATAAAAATATATATATATAATTTCTTTCATACTTTATTAGTTACACCTATAATATATACAATTACACAAGAAGAATTTTGTCTTAGAATTTATCCTAAACATCATGATAATCATGGAACAATATGGCATTGGTACAATTTTATAAAAGTTTTTCTGATTCAATATTTATCACAATAAAAAACATTAATATGTACATAATAAATTTTATTATGTACATAATAAATTTTATTATGTACATAATAAAATTTTATTATGTACTTAGTAAATTCAATCGAAAATATTATATATCTTATTATGTAGATATTGATATTTTTTCATTGTGGTAAATATTAATAAAAGCAACTTTTATAAAATTCTTCTAATACTATATTGTCCCAGATTTATCATGATTTTCTAAGTAAATTTTGAAAGAAAATTCTCTCTGTGTACATTCATTTACACAAGTTATCTCGTTTACTACTAAGGAGCAAATTTTCTTACGTCACTTAAGCACATTTTGCATTCTCGGTTTAACTTTCCACACTTTTTTTCCTCTATAATTTATACTTACTGAGAACACACTGAAAAAAATTTTTAACTTGACTAAAACTTTCGACTAAATTACTATTTCGCAAATTGAGCATATATTATTGGTATTTAAGTCAAATATACATATTTTCTTAGATTTAGTATGTTAAATTAATTTTAAATATTGTTATATGTTCAATTACAAAAATAATATTTAGTTGAAAGATTTAATCAAGTTAACAAATTTCTTTTTCAGTGTACAATATATACAATAAAAATTCGGCAAATTAAAATTATGTACAGAATGGAAATTCGATAAATTTATATTATAATGGAAATTCGGTTAATTTTTACTATGTTTGTAATATGAATTCGGTGAATCAAAATTAAGTAAGTTCTACTATGAACATTATTTTAATTCGTCAAATTTCTATTCTGTACATAAATTTAATTCAATTCAATATTCAATATTTTTAATTCAATATTTTATACATAAATAAAATTATAATCATAGCATCAGGCAACTGTCATTACAAAGATTAACAATTTGACAGTTGTAAAATAAACAATAGAATTGATATCAGAGAAGAACGCAAAACGCGCGGCTTGTTGGCTAATATTGTTAAAATAAAGATTAAATTGACACGCAGAAACAGTTACATAACATAAATTTTTTTCTGCTGGTAAGTCAGATGGGAATACAGCAATTAACTAATCTCGAATTAATATACTTTACCTAAATATGTCTTGACAGTATACCAAACAAAATTTGTGCCCTGTGCCCGATTATCTAGTTGTAACGAAAAATTAATTTATTAACAAACGCACACATATACGCATTCGGCTCCTATATCTCGTTGATTCCAAATAAAAATATTTTAATTACATCTATTTCTAAAATATATATTAAATTTCATTTTAGTTGCTTATTGTGAGTATAAAAGTTATATATATATATATATATATATATATATATATATATATAATATAACAGCAAATTAATCGATAACATATAGGCATAAAAATTAATTTTTAACCGATTCGTAAAATTTAATACTTAATACTATTTTATTAGTACTTAATGATATTTTATTAATACTTTATTTATGTAAAAAAATATTAAAAAGATTTTTTAAAAATGGAAGTTAGAACAAACACATATATTTCTCAGAAATTCAGAATTTTATTACAAATGAAATTTGTCACCGAACCTCGTCAAATGCATTACCAATTGTTTTATATTAATACACATTCAATTTTTTCATTTTCATATTATATTAAGTATATCGTCATTATCGTAATAAGAATCAACATCTCCAAACTCATGAAGAAAAGTAATCTGGACATCACTGTTGGTGATTTGGTCATAATTCGAACAGTCATTTATACTTGATCTGCACAGAATAAAATATATAAATTGTGAAATTTGTCAACATTATAAATGTCCTGGTTGAGTAATGTGCACAATGTATAATTATACAAATATAAACTGTTATTTAATAATAAAACATTTTTATTAAAACATCTCTAAAAAAACTTGAATTTTCAATATTCTCATAAATTCATATATATTTAATTCGTATAATTATTCACAAATGACACTTATCTAAATTTACAACTTATCGATTACAAGAATATTGAACACAGTAAAATTAAAAAATTTGTATTATCGTACTTTGATATATACCTAACAAAAGTTGTTTTATTATTATGAATATTCAAAATTTAAATTGAAAACACCTCCACGGAAAATAATAAAATTTTTTAAATTAATCTATATTATAAAGTTTTAAAGCTTATGCAAATATATAATTATTAAAATATCCAAACACTAACATTTCTTCCTGATTATATAATTCCTGGGTTGGCTGTTGATAGCTGCTTATTGTTGATGTACCAACACCTTCTATGTCATTATCAGAAGTTTTAATCTCTGAAATATCTGGTAACCTGCGTAGACAAAAATTAAAATTTCTAAATTAATCTATATTATAAAATTTTAAAGCACATGCAATTATATTTAAATGTATAAACACTAACATTTTTTCCAGATTTAATATCTGTTGATAGCTGCTCATTGCTGATGTACCAACACTTTCTGTATCATTATTTATAACCTCCTTAATATCTGACAACCTGCACGGAAAATAATAGAAATTGTCTAATTAAACTATATTATAAAGTTTTGAAACATATGCAATTATATAATTATTAAAACGTCCAAACACAAACATTTCTACCAGATTATTTAATTCCTATATTTATTCACAATTCTTATACATATCTAAATTGTCACAAATTACAAGAGTATTAAATATAGTAAATAACAAATTTATATACGTATATACAATTCTACCCTTTGCAATTCTATTCGTTATATCTATTGTACTTATAATACATGTACATAAAAGTATATAGACAAATAAATGAAACAAAAAATATAGTAATTCTATAAATTTAACGTATAAGACGGGCAACAAGAGCCAAATCGCGGATGACAATTCATATTTAAAATCTTGGCCGTGTCCAAGTAAAAATTTGGTGCCTTGTGCACCGGTATTTATTTCTAACGAAAAATTATTTAGTTTCGTTAGGATAACGCATTGTCATCCGCGATTTGGCTCTTGTTGCCCGTCTTATACGATAAATTTATATTTATATTACAGAGCCTTGTTAAAACTCTTATATAGTAATTCTAATTCTATTGGTTCTTTTACCTTGGTGTGATTTTGGAAGAACTTTCGTTAATACTCTGATCTGGCTGCTGACTGCTGCTTCCTGGTAGAGCAACATCTTCGGTATCGTTATCAGAATTTAAAATCTCCAATTTACCTAATAATCTGTACAAAATAAAAAATAAAATTGATGATTTATAAATAATTATTATATATAAATTTATTATCATTATAAAGTCTTAAAAGTGAATCAATATTTATTTATTTTGAGAGCTGATAAAATATTCCTAATATTGTATTTATTTATATTAAAGACTAATCATTATTATTAATAAAACCCTTTTATTATTCTAACATATCTCAAAACTGATCGACATAATCGAATAGAATGCAAACACAACAAAATTTTTTCACAATTATTCAAATTTCATACTCACCACTATCATAAGTTATACTTATCCTAAATGTCACTAACACATTACCCATGTAGACACTAAGTATAACATATTTTATTGTATTCTGATATATTAAATGATATAATTTAATTAAACTGACTCGCATATTGATGATACTTATGACAAATACATGTTAAATATTTAAATTCTATACTTTTTTTAATTCATGCTTTTATACATTATTTTTATTGTAATATATATTTATAATTATATTCACAAAGATATATGCAAATACAAGATTAAATAGTAATATTTTGAATGTATCAGCGTTTTTATTTGTATTACTAAATTTTAATATAATATTAGTTAAACTGACTCGAATATTTTCAATACTTGTGAAAAACACATGTTAAATATATTAAATTTTACGATTATAATTACATACAATTCTCGTTGTACGTAAAAAATTATTTATAATTTTTAAAAGTAATATTATTTATAAATAATTTAAAAAAGATAAGACAATATTACATAAATATAATACATTTTTTTCTTACTTCTTCGATATTAGATAACACAGAAATTCGATTCGATGTTCTTTTAGAAAATGCCTTATTGTCATTAAACTAGTCTTCTGTCGTGACATGTTCTTGCAAATTGTGCATTTTGATGTTTCAAAAGATAATACATAACGATACAACATTAACCAGTTGAAAAGATCATTGGTTTTAGCGTGATTAATTTCATGATTATTAAGTAAATGTTGTTGCAGTTCCACGTTCGAATGAATAGAAATATGACGACAAATAGGAGAAGAATAATTACATTTATAAATGCATTTCATTTGATTGTCTTCTATAGAAAAAAACCTTTTTTTCCGTACATCTTTCATCATAATAGGTGTTTGATGAAACTCTTTATGCTTGCAATTTATGTGGGCTGTCATATTTCTGATATTTATTTTAACAGGAAAACATGTACCACAAATATTACATTTTACACTTTCAATATTTGTAAAATAAAAATAATACCATATCCATTCTTCGTTATTTGCAGTACCACACCATAATCTGTATAATAAAGAGTAAAGAATAAAAATTGCTGAATTAATACTATAAAACTTTGTTTAAATCATATGTACAAATTGTAGTGTACAATTATTTAACACAAACTGTTATTATTGATAAAACACTTTTATTATTCAAACGTCTTGCAAATGTGAATTTGATATTTTCGTCATTTATCAACATAAAAAGAATTAAAATACAAAAATTCTATATTTCTTAGTTTTTACTTTTTATATTTTTTCAAAATTCATGCTTATATTTAAATTGTCACATATTACTGATTATAAGAGTTTTTAATTATACAGTACACGACAGTACTAGACTCGAATACTTATATTATTTATGATAAATATATTTCAAATATATTTTATGATTATATTAGTTATACACAATTCTACTTATTATACTCTAAAAATTATTTATTAATAATTCATTAGAAAAAAATAATATTAAATAATTACCCTGCTGGTTTGATATTCGAAGGTATTTCAATTTCATGCACTTGTTTTAAATGGATTATTAAATATACTGGTTTAGACGGAATGGCATATGGCAATACTTGCAGCAACAATATTTCGCATCGATATAATTTTTGATAAAAAATTTATTCAGCCATTCGCAGATACTTTTTGCTTTATTTTCTTCAACTTCATGATGACTTGTTAGGTGTTCATCTAGATCCAATGTGTATTGCCTATTTGCACGGCATTCTCCGTAACAAATATCGCATTTTACGATGTTTTTTTCTATTGTGTAATAATACAAAACCCAAGAATCTTCTAAGCTTGACATGATACCTGCTTTGTATCAGAAATCGTGCGCTACTAACAAAAGTATAAGAAGGATATATTTTAACGAGGAATATAGAAGATATTAGGCAGAAGAAAAAGGAAAGGTCGTGAAAAACGCGTATATAATTTGTTGTATAAATGTGAATGTTTATATACAGAGACAAATTTGTATTTTAATAAGTTACGGTATTTGTAATCCAGTGCCGATAATTCTACATACATTAAAAAACGAGAATAAAATTATACAATCGCAAATATTATTACAATAAATGCGAATGTTTCCAACTTCTACTTTTTAAGTTAGCAAAGATTAGTTCGGTAAACATATGATTAAAGTAAATTATCGAATTAATAAAAAATAAAAGAGGATAAAGTGCAGAGGATAAAATGATTAAAGTAAATTATCAAATTAATAAAAAATAAAAGAGGATAAAATGCGGAATTTATCAAATAATAATGTAATAAATTATAATAAATTTTCATGTATGTTGGATTAGTTAAAAAGATATACTATATATGGCAAATGAAAAATATGTATTATTCCATGTATATATTTATATATTATCGTATTTGCTTAATAAGTCTATATATTTTTTATTTAAAATAAATTGCATTAATTTTATATTACTTTTAAAATATAATATAATTATGTATCAATCATCAACAAATTAAAAACGTAAAAACTTAATATCGTTTAAATATGTTAATATTCTAATATATGTATGTTAATATTAATAGTTGACTAAAACTGTTGACATAGTTGTTACTTACATGATTTGGAAATTATAAATAGCTAGATAAAAATATGAAATACTTATGTGATTTTGAAATTAGATAAATAAAAATATGAAATGAAAATAAGATAATTTATCTTTGATAAAATAAAATTATATGTATATGTAGCGAAATACGTAGATAATATTATTTTTGAAACCACTAATATCAACAGTTATGAAAACATAAATTGTAAAAGATGAGATATAAAAAAATGTTTATATATTTACTTGTAAGTTTTATCACTTATCGTTTAAAGTTTCATTGCTTAATTACTCTAAACCAAATTATCTGAATATTATTCTAGATAATTTAGTAAAAGATAAATAATACTTTTTTAATTAATCTAAAATGCAGTTATTGATAATACAATATATTTTAATTATTTATACATAAAAATCCCAGAAAGTACAAAATGTTTACATATTATATACAAAATATTTATAATTATTATTTTAATATTTAATAAATATTTATCATAAATATTTATCATAAATATTTATTAATATTTATATATACTTTTGAAGATAAATAATACTTTTTTAATTAATCTAAGATGCATGGCAGTTATAGATAAGATAATATATTTTATTATTTATATATAAAAGTCCCAGAAAGCACAAAATACTTATATATAATATACAAAATATTTATAATTATTATTTTAATCTTTAGTTGTTTGTTTGTGAGTAGAAAAGTATATATATATATATATATATATATATATATATATATATGCAATATATCTGTAAATTAATCAACAATATATGTGCGTAAAAATTATTTTTTTTCTACAAAAATAATAAAGGATATAGATAATAAGCGTAATGGCTACCGATATAGTTTGGTAAAATGTAAAATTTTTATTTTTGAAAAATTTTAAATATAAAAAAAATTAATTTTTCACCGATCCATAAAGTTTAATACTTAATATTATTTTACTAGTACTTAATTATATTTTAATAATACTTTATTTATGTAAAAAAATATTTAAAAAATTTTTCAAAAATAGAAGTTAGAACAGCCACATATTTGTCAAAAAATTCAGAATTTTACTACAAATGAAACCTTTCATTAAACATCGTCAAATTCATTACCAATTGTTTTAATTTAACGCACATTCAATTATCTAAAAAATAAAATTTAATACACATTCAATTTTTTCATTTTCATATTTTATTACATCGTCAATATCGTAATCAGAGGCAACTTTAATTTTAATTGGCATCTTCAAACTCCTGAAGGAAAATAATTTGGACATCACTGTTGGTGATTTGGTCATAATACGAACAGTTATACAAACTTGATGATCTGTACATAATAAAATATAAAATTTGTTAAATATGTCAACATTATAAATGTCCTGGTTGAGTAATGTGCACAATGTATAATTATATAAATATAAACTGTTATTTAATAATAAAACATTTTTATTAAAACATCTCTAAAAAAAACTTGAATTCCATATTCTCATAAATTCGATATATATTTAATTCGTATAATTATTTACAAGAGACACTTATCTAAATTTACAACTTATCGATTACAAGAATATTGAACACAGTAAAATTAAAAAATTTGTATTATCGTACTTTGATATATACCTAACAAAAATTATGTTTTATTGTCTGAAATATTCAAAATTTAAATTGAAAACACCTCCACGAAAAATAATAAAATTTTTTTAAATTAATCTATATTATAAAGTTTTGAAACATGTGCAATTATATTATTATTAAAATGTCCAAACACTAACATTTCTTTCTGATTATTTAATTCCTGAGTTGGCTGTTGATAGCTGCTTATTGTTGATGTACCAACACCTTCTGTGTCATTATCAGAATTTTTAATCTCTGAAATATCTGGTAACCTGCGTGGACAAAAATTAAAATTTCTGAATTAATCTTTATTATAAAGTTTTGAAGTATGTGCCATTATATAATTATATAAATGTCCAAACACTAACATTTTTTCCCGATTTAATATCTGTTGATAGCTGCTCATTACTGATGTACCAACACTTTCTGTATCATTATTTATAACCTCCTTAATATCTGACAACCTGCACGGAAAATAATAGAAATTGTCTAATTAAACTATATTATAAAGTTTTGAAACATATGCAATCATATAATTAT